TTGTTCATTATGAATCAGTTTGGACATAATTGGAAGAAAAGTATGTTTTATTTTGTTAATTCAATGTAAATGTGATAAATCAAAATACTGAGAATCTGAAAAAGTCCCTTGTATTACAGTAATATATCCAAGACACTTGTTGACAATACATAAAACTACCTTTTTTATATAATATAAGATACACTACTGCTATTGATCATTGGTCACCACCTTCAAATTCAAGATTCCGAATCTGAAGATGAGCCGAGCAGACACAATATTCTTACATCAGAGATGTTGCAGATAACTTTTAGAAAACTAAGAACAAAATAAAAACGTGAACGTGCCACAATATGAATCCATACAAAAGATTTTTTTTATTTATTTTCGTGAGCATCGAATGAGTAAGCAGTGGATTTTTAATATTTTATCCACTTGTGTGTGATCCTAATGCTTTGGAAAATTTGTACACAGAGTAAGTGGAGAGCTCATCAAAGACTTAGCAGAAATATTAGTTCCAGCATGGTTTCAGTAGACCTTCATTAAGAGAAATTGTATTTCGTAATTCGTATTAAAGATTACTTTTGAGATTCGAACCTGGCGCATGCATAAATCAGTGCGAAGCACTTGTTTTTAAATTTGTACAAAATTTTAAAAATTTGTACAAAATTTTAAAAAGTTTACACTTGTAAACATTTTTTTTTTAAAATTTTGTTTAGCGGACTAACGTGCCAGAAAGGGACACAAATATAGTGTTTATAGTACACGTAGATTTTATTGAGCAAATTATGAGTAAATTTTAGTGAGTAAATAATGAGTATATATCTGTTTTCCGATTCTAGTTGGAATGGAAGACTGACATGTTTCCGCGCAAGATGTAGGCCCATGGCTTACATGGGGACATCCCTGCCGATACTTCTATAGCTAAAGAAACTAAAAGCTAAAGCGTTCACGAGATACAGTGAGAAAGGCTGATGGGGACACACCAGAGCCCAAAAAAGAGAGAATCTTTTCCACCTATAAGAATTAGGCTCAGGCCTAAAACTAATGATTATGATGAACGAATGAGTTCCATAGAAAATCAGTTACAATTCATTGAAGTTGCCTCAGTAATCTGAAAGCAAAAGGTAAGAGAGTTTTTATTTAGTAATGTATTAAGATTGCAAATTAATTTCAAATGTTGATATCGTTTTAAGAATCGGAAACTTTCTTGTGAAGATAATTTTTCTAATATAGTATGTTATTAACATCGTCGTCCTTTGTATACAGTACATAAATGCTTATAACGTTTCAAACAAATAATTCTTGGAAGCATCTGACTTTTCAATATTCATTCGGTATGATTGCCAGGTATTACTCTTTTTGTTGAAGCAGTATTGCTGATCCTGCATTCAACCATGAGTTTTAAAGATATGCCGCTTTTAATTATATTCCTATTTAATTACCTTAACATTATAATTCTTTGATTTTCAAATAAAAATAAATGTCTGGTTTATTAAAAATTCGATACCTTTGGATTTAACCAGATATACCAAAGAAATTAAACAGCGCTAATGCCCTGACCAAGGGGCAAGCTACAACACAGTGATGGCGTCAGGACTTGCCAGACGGAAGAGGTAAAGGCCCCTACGGGGGGTGTTAGTGGAGCGAATCGAATCTCACTTGGCTGGGGACCAGGGGGACACCCAGGGCCCCCGGTTGGGGTCCAATCGAGCTACTATAATGTAGGCTAAGTTTTTTTAATGTCGAAATCAACTTCCTCATTCTGGAAAGTGAAATTCTACATTTTGTAAATTTTGCTTGAAATCTGTCGACCACGCTGTCAAGGTCGAGGTTGCTTCCAATATCACGATGTATTCCAAACATCATGAGGATATTTAAACGAACATTTGTTATAACAGAACGCAAATTATTTTTAATTAGTCTTATTGAACTATTATTATTATTATTTTTATTATTATTATTTTTATTATATTATTATTATTATTTTTATTATTGTGATGAAAAGTTAACAAAAATAGTTTAATGAAAGTAAATATTTTTATATCTGTTTATTCCCCTACAAAATTTACTCGTCTTCCCCGACCAGGGGGGGGGGGGCTATAGTCTTGGTGCCCCCATCTGGCGCCACCACTGCTATATCATAACCTCAGCCCCTCGGTAAAGATCAAGTGTCCTGACTTTTTATTCAGTGTTGGGAGGTACTGTATAAACTTAAAAACGTTAGTTCTAATTTAGATAAAACGGAAATTTTAAATTACAGGAAGATTTGACTAATTTGTTTACATATTTCCTTTTTAACATGTGGCCCTCTATGATTTATTTGCATCATCAGCAATGATGATGCAGAAAAAAAATAGATAGCGCGTGCGCAGTCATAATTTGATACATTGGAAATAAAGTAAAAACACAAATCACATCATATATAAACATCAAAAGCAACAAAGCAGATAAAAGTGAACACATTTTTAAGCTAGAAGACTGGTGCAAGTCCTTTTGGAAAGCAGTTATTCGCGTGAATTAGGCCAAATGACACCAAATTGTGGATGGTTTGGTTTTCAAATGGCAATGTCCATTCGAATCCCCTGATTATTATTACCTCCCTAATCAATAGTTAAAGTACGATGGCTTGTAGGACCATTTTCTGATTTTTCCCACTTCATTTTAATTGTTATTATAATAATCAGAGTATGGTCTGTCTCTTATACTAGGCCCATATCGGCCGCTACCTATAGCGGCCGCCCTCCAAAACGGCCGCCAATGCGTGTATATGTATGGAACGCCGATAACGCATTCACAATGCAGTACAGTATAGTTAAATGGTTTGGCATAGGTCAAGTCGGTTTAGAATGGTGTATGACCGGTTCGGCCGTGAACAAGTTCGGCCGAGATATATTTGTATGGAACACCAAGTAGGCGCAAAGCTATTGCTGCTACAGTATCCATTATTTCGTGTTTTATTGTTAGGTCTTTTTTGGTTCCGTGGTTACGCTTGTATTAGATAGGGCAAAACATGCCCATTCGTGCAGAACGAGTGTGCAGTGTCTGCCGATTGATGAATAACCTAATGCGAATTCACCAACTGATTAAAAGTTCAACCTGGTTTAACGAGCAATAATACGGTTATAACACACAACAGAGGTTAATGATCATAATCAATGTCTGTATTAAGCTTATGTAAAATAATTAATAGACAAGAAAACAACACGTCGTATAGGCCATGGCCACAGACCCTACATTATACGGCCTGTGTAGGCGAACAACTCGTGTAACAACTACATTCCTCAACCATCGCGCATGTTCGTACAGTTTCCATGTACAGAGATCAAGCCAGTCGGCTATTTTCAGCATTTGACATTCTTTCCTTGTCTCCGATGACATTCCTGAATTGGCGGCGTACAAAGACTTCGTCCCCGATAACATTCTTGAATTGGCGGCTTACAAAACTTTCTTTATTCTCCCAAGAGTATCATTGGACACTACTGGTGAGAACGTTTCTCACTGAATTAATTATTACTAGGCAACTCAGTACTGGCAAATTGATACCTATTTAAAGCAATGTATTTCCATTCATGCTAGAGGCTAGATTTAATTATTAATTAATTATTTAAATACCGTAACCAATCAATCACTTTTATCTGGAACGTATACTCGTCTTGCAATATGTACGCTTGTTTAATCGTACATATAATTATAATGCAGGATTAATTAATTATATTATATATTTTATTTTAAGATACAAATCAAATTTCTAGATAAGTTACATTTATAGTTAAATTAAATTTCTTCTAAGCAATAAAGTTTCAACTTAGAATATTGTGCAGGATAAAATAAACAATTCTTAACTTAAAATTGTGCTATTAAAACTACTTAGTAAAACAATCAATTTTAATAATAAAGTATTTCGCCATACGCTCTTTCAAGAACATAATAAGGTCTTGTTTTGTAAACTGGTATAGGACCTGTTCTATTTTTTCAGTAAATGTTTTCTCATACACTATTTCTAACAAAATGTTTTCGTTACACAACTACTGGAGTAGGGAGTTATCAACTCACTCTGGCTAGACAATGAACATGCTTGCTTCATCAGATAAGACAAAAGATATCAACGTCTCCGTGGTAACGTTAACTTTTAACCCTACTACTCGAGTATTGTTGCTTTTTATTGAGTAACAAACGATTGAATCGATAGCATATATCGGGTACATATTTGAGTATAAATAATTAAGAAACGAATATCATATGTATGAACTTTAGAAACACTTCAGTGGAGGAAACCAATTTTCAACCTATTATATAAATTATATATGTATACATATTTAAATATATGTGGCCTATATATAAATCATGATATAATATATATATATATGGCCTATATAATAAATAATGAAACAATATTAGTATTGTTGCTTTTTCCTGAGCAACAAACGATTGAATCGATGGCATGAATCGCGTACATATTTGAGTATATAAATTTAAGAAACGAAAATCATATGTATGAACTTTAGAAATACTTTAGTGGAGGAAACCAATTTTCAACCTATTCTTATATAAATTATGTATATGTATGCATATTTAAATATATATGGCCTATATATAAATTATGATATAATAGATAAAATTCAAATTAGCTTTATATATAATAATAAGAAACGAATACCATACTTTATTGGAGAACTTCTTCAATCTATCGAAAGTTTTGATTGAAGCAATGGTTTTCTTATATTTTTATGATGTTTACAATTCTTAATGTGACTTCAATTTATTTTTTTTCAAGTTATTTTTTAAGTAGTTTTATATAGTGTGTAGGCCTATATATAAAATGAAAAAGAGGGCCGAGTTAACCTGCCGGGCCGAATTGACTAGGCCCTAGTTGACTCGAAAGCTTTGTATTTAGCGAGCGGTATTGTATTATTAATTGTGAATGCGTCATCGGCGTTCCATACATATACACGCATTGGCGGCCAGCCCTGCATTACATGAACATATCGAATATGAATAAATTAAAGAAAACGCCTTACCATGTATTCTGACTCGAAATTTCTTCTATGGTGGAATATTCTAAAAGATATTCCAAAACTTCATTCAGATCGTCTATGTAAAAAATGCCATCGGTCTACAACATACAACAGAAAACCTTTGCGTCTCTCCCTTACACTGTGCATTCTGTTTAAATTCCGCAGTAGGCTTTAACTCACTGTACCTCGCTGTTTAGCCACACCCTCAACAATTCGAAATTATCTAAAAGCCTGTTGTGTACCTACCCTCACATTTACGACCTCGCCCATTCTGCTGGGTCAATTGCACAAAACACAAACAAAGAAAGCAAACAGCACTTTTACAGAAAATACATGCTTAACAAAGAACTGAATCGTTTCCTGCATGGATTACTATCCACCTCAGCTGTTGTGCTAATTTCACAAGATAATGAATCTTTCTGAAAGGTCGTATCATTGACCAATCAGAACATAGTACAGTACTGCGAAGCGTGCTTGTCCGAAACCAAACATGGGTTTACCAGATATGGTCTATGGTATACCCATGGAGGAAATATATTAATATATATTTCCTCCATGGGTATACCGTATGTACTTTTCCGTCATGTCTAATTTGGCGTAGAAAGCGTGTCATACTTGTTAAATGACGTCATGCTGGTAGTCTCATAATATCGTGCGGTTGTGGAGCTGCTGATTGATGTGCCACTCTCGGCGCTAGAACGCTTTTATGGGCGCTGGGGCAGCGACTAGGGTCGGTTCTACTTCTTTTTCTAGGTTTGTTCAGCAGACATGGCTGGACCTTACACACACACACACATATATATATATATATATATATATATATATATATACATATACATATATAAAGAGAAAGGAATTGATAGAGGAAATAATAAAAATAGTTAAGCGAGATCTTCATGGGGCACGATAAAAAAAGAGCCATTTATGTAGGCAGAAATCACAAGTTTATTTTTATCTTTTTTTTGGACCGATATTTTCAGCACTGCATATTAACTAGACTTATCTCTGTGAAGCTGGCTTGTCCGAGTGAAAAAGAAACGAAGGGTCTTTTGCATTTCAGACTGCACTTCAGAAAGAGTGCGAACATCGTCGATTGATCTGGCCTTTGTGGCACCCAGTCTTATAGACCTATATTGTGAACAGTATTTTGATGTTATGATATATAGGCCTATGTATTCGTTAAGTTTGTTGCTATGTATTGTGCAACTACAAGTACTGTATAGCCTATGTGGCTGTTTCAGATAAACCTTTATAGTTGCATTTGGTACAAATAGCTATTGCATAATTTGTTGTAGGGCCAAAATTTGCTGACCTATTCTTAGTATTTCAATTTTCGTCACTTATTAAATGGCAATATCAAGCAATGCAGTGTAAGCGACCTTTTTGCTGCGTGGACGTCTGCTTATACATTAAAATGATATTATTATTAATAGATTATGGAAAGTGGGCATAATTGTTAAAATATAGGCCTATAACTACCCATATACCGTATATATATACACAATTACCGGTACCGTACAGTACATTGCAAGACCAATAATCAGTGAACGAAATAACGGTCATATTATCATGATTCAGAGCGTTCAATTTCAACATTATTAATCTCTTTGACTCAAGCAAGTATATATACACACGTACAGTTAAGTTACATGCACTAGCATTGAACATCGCATTAAGTTCGCCCACCAAATCGAGACCACCTTTGGGACCTGATAATTTGAGTTGGTCACGGGGTTCGGTCTCCATATAGAGGGTTTAGCTTAGTGTTAATAGATGGAAGATTGTAATTTGGTTCTTTGGAAAAGTGGTCTTGAATTAGAGGGGTCTCGGATTTAGAAGGGTCTCGAATTGGAAGGTGCACTGTAGTCATAATTGGATGTCACCATGGTCATATTTGGGCATGTAAGATGTTTTTGTAAAAATGTGATAATCTGGACATGGTTTTAGGCTACATATTTTCTGCAGTATTTTTCTTTTCTTCTCTCTCTTTTATCATATCCCCAAAGAACCAAATAACTCAGCCCTTTAACATAACCCTCTACCGAACACTGAGACCACCAGAACTTTTTAGGTCCCATGTAGTCTCGAATTGGAGGGTGAACTGTATTAAGTTCATAATAGCATGATCATATATAGGTATATCATGTTTTAGAGCATACAACAGTCTTTTATTTGTCAAACCATATTTGACGCTGGAGCTTTAGTTGTATGTACTGTACATACGTTTAGTTGTATGTGTTTGTCAAAAAGGAGCGCAGGTTAATCAGGGTCTAGATATATATTTACTATGGTATTATGATATGGAGTCGTTATCAAAAGAAATATCACTCTATTTCTACTTACCAGCGAATACGAAAATTCCTCGATGAATGTGATGATGATGATGATTATTATTAACACTTGGAATCCTAACACTTTTTAAAATATAGACCGATTTCAAAGAGGACCAGCTCCTTAGGCGAATGCTATGATTCAAATGCATTGTTACTCGCGGTCCTACGAAACACTGCACCTTACACCACCGGGGTGTAATGCAGTACAAAGTCTTACCATCACAGAGTATAGGTGCTTACTTGTAGTTGGAAATTATAGAGAAAAAAAGAGAATACATAAGCATAAGATCTTTCAAAATTCATCTTTTTAAAAGTAATTTCAGATTGCAGGATGTCGTCCAATTTCTGAATCGAATGCGTTTGACACACCAAAGCAAACGCATTCCATGCATTTATCCGCCCCTCCGTGCCAGCGTGCTATGAGGCGCCCGTTGTGCTTGAATGGTGGAAACCAGTTAATGTTTGAATCAGATTTGGAGATAGCACTGACAAAGACAATACAGGCAGCATTTCCGTCATTAACTCAAATACTGTGTATGCAACATTTAAAAACACGCCGGCATCTACATAAAAATGGCATTAAGGAGGAAGTTTGTAAAATCCGACGTCTTCAATGAAAATGTATTAATTGGATGTGCAGATGAATAAGCATCTAAAATGTCATTGATGCTGCAAGAAAAAAAAAATACAGATATGCCATATTTTCAGATTATTACAAACATATCAGATAAAATTCTGAAATTCATAATTTTTCCATGCAAGTCGAATAAATATGTTACTGTACCATTCGACAGGAAGAATAATTCCTGCGAAAGTATTAATAACATATATAAATTAATCATTAACTGGAAAAGACAAAAATACCAGATTTGTATGCTTACAATATTGCGATGTCCATAGAGCTATTTGTGGAGCAGGAAATTTTAAATTGGCACCTTGAGTTGTCAAGCTTAACGTAAAGAACTATGACTGGGTAAAGAAATAATCTGATAGAGAAAAGGAAATATCATCCGTTTCTTTATTACCGTACGTCCTAATGTCATATTTGCAATGTACGTTTTTGTCATCACACAGAGGTCTAGGGACATTTACATTTATCAACATTTTTCACGAATGTACAAACAGTATGCATGAAGAAGAAACAATGCTTTTTGGATTATCATGGGCTATTTGGTATACTATAGGAAAATTGCAATTTTTATCATAAGAATCGAAGTTGAAAATAAAATAAAATACTCCAAATAATGAATAATCAATCATCTCTTCAGTAAAACAGGCTCTGGGTGGATAAACAACTTCGAGATAATCAATATGCAATGTTAATAAGACGATAGACAAGATATATGGTTAGGCAATACACGGTTATGATTAGAATCTCATGCAAGTGGCCAAAGGTCACGAAATATACAAAGATTTTCAAAACGTTGAAGAAATAAAATAACAGAATCTCTAATTCTAGTTTTTATATTATTGATAAAAAAAACCCCCTTGTCAGTTTAAGTTATTTTCTTAAATAGTTGATTGTAGATCCTTATAATATATATATGTATATGTAAATAGTAACAATATAAAATATAGGCTTATGCATAGAATAATATAAAGGCCTATATATATATATATATATATATATATTGTATATATATATATATATGTATATATATATATATATCAAATAATCCGAGCTATCTATGCATATAAATTCTTACATAGAGTATATATATTGACACCTCTCAAATCAATCATCACACTTTTAAAACCATTGAATAACAATCAATAAAACTGAAAACTTTATAATCTTGAAAAATATATATGACCTGTCAGGAAAGAACAAACAAAATATGTATAAACACGTCTCTAAAGCACCATCGGTGCCTCATATATATAGCACGCATGAACGCGTCCTCTTTGTTGTAAAACGCATTCGATACTGAAACTCTACGACAGAATTCTACTCCTACTTCAAAGATGATTGTTGACAGATTTTATGCTTATAAATTCACTTTTACTCAATAATTAGCAAATACTGTAAAGTACCTACTTCCAGGTGGTAAGACTTAGTACTGTATTGCGGCCCGGCGGTCCCCCGGGGGCGGTGTTTAGTAGGCAGACATAAGTTTGTCACGAGACAAATCAGTCTTGGTACAAATCAGTCTGGGCCACCCGTCCAAAACCACGATGCTATACCCACCGAAATATGGAACGCCCACAGTGCCTTCTGCGTGGCGTCTTTTCGTTCGGCTCAAATAGCATTTCGTGCAATTTTTACTATTTGGCTGCCACATTAACATTCGGCGGCAACTTTATCATTCGGCCATTCTAGCATTGGGCGACTAGCCTACATCATTCTGTGACTTTAGCATTCAGGCGAATTTAACATTCGGTGAATAGCCTATATTATCACTCGGCGACCACGAAATCGAAAACTGGTATTTTACAAGGCCTGCGTGAAATCATATACTTTCTAAACCAACCGTTAAAAAGATCTAGTGCTTCTTCTTGATTGTGTTTATTACTACTTATATTGTATATAATCTATATCATGACCGTATGCTTTGGAGTGCGGCGAATGCCGATATACACCCCGTTGCCACTCCCCCACCCCCACCACTAATGAAATACATTAAATAAATAAAATGGAGATGTAGACTCATGTATTTTGTAACAGACAGACGATTATCTTACCAGTTATATAACAATAAGATACACCCAGTCATTGTTGCTGTTAGAAGGGTATATAATTAGGAGTATAGAAGTATGATATTTCAACCGTTTAAAGCTTTCGAACATGACGTGATGTAATACATGTTTTATTCTGTAAACTTTCAATAATTCATCGACGAATCAAATACATCGTAGTAAAGCGTTTGGGAACTTTCCTATATTAAACTTTCTGCAGCAAGTTTCTGGGCTGCAGAATATTTCAACCAATCAAAGAGCAGAAAAAAATTACTGCAGTGAGTTTAAGTTACCGCTGCGAGTTTAGCGCCCTCCATGCATATTTTGACCAATCAGAAGCCAGAGAACTCGCTGCAGTAAATTTCTAATTAAACTGCAGTTCAAGAACCGAATACTGAGTGATATCGCACTCCATAGCCGCCGTTGAAGGCACTGTGGGTATTCCATACCCAA